GTTTTTATGAAATGGTTTTATGCGAGGCGACAGACACCGCCCGTGAGAAGGCACAGTTCCATTGGTTAACATACAATGTTGTATTATTAACCCACATCGCGCCGCAGAGTTATCTAACGGCGGCGCTATCAATGCGTTGCGACAAATCATTATTAGCTTGGAATTCGCCAAAATGTCATTAATCATTATTTTTTTAATAACAGCAATTACAAATTAGCACATCATCGTCCACAATTGCGATATGTCATAGTGACAAACTATGACTATGTCGCAATCGATAAGAGAGCGTTACGAGACAACTATATATTTTGCTAATTACTCGTTAAGTTTTAAGTACTATTTAACTAAAATTGTCGCATACCATGATTTTTTTTTTGCACAAACATTTCAATATCTTAACTGGTAAATGGATAAATAGGCAGATTGTTTAAAAGATCCATAAGTTAAATATAAGTAAAGAAGCGAGGGCGAGCATTTCTCGGTCACCTCGCGCGTTGTGCATGATGTGCGCTCGCTGTTGGGCAACACTGTGCCGTGGAGGTCGCTTGCGCCACCGCCCCGCGCACGCCCCGCACACCCCGCGCAACCACCCGCAAACCCCCGCCGCCTATACCACTCAACAGTAAGGAGGTTAATCGACCAACTTCTTACGTTAAAACACACGTGCAACCTGACCTTTGCCATGCAGTATGATTAATTTATTGTTTTGCTACCATGTTGAAATAACTATTTAAAGGTTTAACTATTCCATAAACATCAAAGGTTTTCTTTCTATTGTGGAGTTTATCCACATCATCGCTTACCATACATTGGTTCTCGTCACCAATCGCCGCCGCTATTGACTATTATTACGGCGATAAGTGAACGACCTGTCGCTCGCTCGCCCTGACACCGCCGCCCGACGCCGCCGCCGGGCCGCCGCTCGCCCTGACCCCGCCGCCGCCTCGAAGCTCAATTAAGTTAAAAGGATCTAAAATTAAACATTCTACGAATATTTAACTAGATGTCAGTGAATAAAAACACTCATCTAGGTGTTACAGTGGGCTTACACGATCTGACGATCTTTGCATCTTGCGGTACAAAAAATGTTATGTAATAAGGGAATTCAATTTGTTTTGCGCGCACTGAACGATAAGATTCACAAATGACTTGCAGCGCAGCGGCTATTCGTAGAATTAATTTCAATGACACAGATGAAAGTCTGATTGTTAGCGCTCTTCGACATCCTTCTGAGGTGCACACTAATATCGCTGGTATTTCTTATTAACCCCCACTCACCGCTTATTTAAACAACGAATGTATATACTTACAACATTATTGGTCAAAAGCTTCTAGAATGGCACTGAGTGTGATCTGTGGAGATGGTTGTGGTTTGCACGGCTTCCTGTTGGTGGTGAGGTTTCGGGGCGGCGCGTTGGCGCGCAGCAGTGACGCGCTCTGTGTGTGCAGGACGCGGCCGAGGACGAGCAGACGCGCGAGAAGCGCAAGCTGGAGGGAGTGACGCAGGCCAAGTTCGGCATCAAGAACGCCGTGCTCGGCTTCGTGTTCGGGGTAAGTGTGGAAGCGGAGGCGGATAACCGTTGCGGCGTAGCGACAACGGGAGCGATACGAATACAGCGACGTATCTGTTTTAGAAAATCAACTCTTTGATCGACGCCAAGACCCGGTTCGTGGACACGCTGGACCGACAGAACATCGAGCTGAACAAGCAGTACGGTATCGAGCCTCCCGCACCCGGCGGCCTGGCCTCGCTGAGCGGCGTCGTAACGCAGGTCATCGGGCCCAAGCTGCAGCTACTCGGGCCTAAGCTGCAAGCGGTTACCGGCCTGCTGGGAGGACTATCCGGTGGCTCGTCGGCGCAAGGTGGGGGCTCGGGCGGCTCGGGGGGCTCCGGCTTGGGCTCGATCCTGTCGCTGGTGACGTCGTTGTCGGGTTCCTCCTCCGGCGGCGGGGGAGGGGCCGCCCCCAGCGTTGAGACCGTGGACTCATCAGAAGAAGAATCCTGATCGTAGTTTTAACGCTTCTTCGATTTAACAATTTCCCTACTCGTGTGCTCCGCGGTACCTTCCCCGTTGCCGATATCGCGCTGCAGTCGAGTCTCCCCTCTCGCTCCCCCCTTACTTTCCACGAGTGCCCGCTTGTACAGTCCGCGGCCGCATTTCGCCCTCATCCTCCTTCTCCTCTTTTGTATTTATATGTAAATAGATATAGGTGAGTGCTGGTGACTATTAAATATTTTTTTATGAATTGTGTTTGTTTCACTGCACGTCGCACAAGGCTGCCCCGCACCCATTGCCCCCGCCCCGCGTCCTTCGCCACATTTTTTTTAAATAGCAAACATGTTGGCAAGGCGAGGTCGCGGGGTCGCAGTGAGGGCCAGCTCTCGTTAGTCGCACCTGTAGAGTCCTTCACTTAAACGTAGCTAACAGCAGCACCGCCGTTGCAAAAGCTGCCCTCCGTCGCCACAACAATGAGGTACGCAGATATCGACACATCTGATGAAAAGAGTTACAAGTCTTTAGAAACGTAATTCTTTTCCTTCTTTGTATCGATATAACTGTTTGTCAGTACGTAACGCATGCTTGTATTTAACATTTCTTGTTGTGATGTGCAAGAACGTATCGCTTGTCCACTAAAATTTTACTTATAGTTAAACAAAAACAAAAC